TTAAATAGGTTGGTACAGGTCTGTAGTAGACTGTCTAGGTCTGATATAGGTCTGTAAGTGCTGTTTAGGTCTTGGTTAGGTCTGGTTAAGCCAAATTTGAGTTAGTCTAGCTTAGTCTAGGTCTGATCAGTAGGTAATTAAGTCAAAATAGGCTTGGTTAGGGCTGATTAGAGTTTAGAATGTCTATAGAGACATTATCTAGGTCTGATCAGATTAGTATCTGATTGTAGATTTAGGTATTATCTAGTTTAGGACTAGATAGGACTCCTAAGTACCAGTTTTGAGTCATAGAGTCCGGTACATTGACCGGTTAGGTCTGATTAGTTGGGATTTGACTAAAACGGGTTGGTTTAGGGGTTGGTTAAGTCTAGAATCACTAGGTATAGGTCTGTAGGGGTCGGTTTAGATCAGGGCAGGTCTATAGGGGTTGGTTTTAGGCGTTTATTGGATCTGATCAGATTAGAATTAGGTCAATTAGGCTTAGTTTAAGTCTGATTAGGGTGCTAAAAGGTCTAATCAGGGGTTGGTAAGTCATTAGGGTTGGCTTAGGTTTGGTGATTAGGACTTTTAGGTGTCTAACTAGGACTTATGGTCATCTAATCAGGGGTTGGTCAATTAGGGTTGGCTTAGGTCTGATTAGGGTCGTGTGATGGTCTAGTCGGGACTTTTGGTTGTCTAACTAGGGCTGTTAGGATCTAGGTAGCACTTGGGTAGGTCTGATTAGGACTTTGTGAGGGACCGGGTAGACTCGGGATCGTAGGACTGGTTAGGACTTTGTTGGGGGCCATGTAGACTCGGTGTTGTAGGTCTGATTAGACGTAATCAGGTCTGGTTAGCCTTAAGTTAGGTCTGGTTAGACGTAATCAGGTCTTAAGGTAGGTTGTGTTTCGAGTCTAATAGGTCGGTTAGGCAAAATTATGCCTAGGGTAAGTCCAATCAGGTTTGTGCGAGAGTCTAGGAGGTCGGTTAGGTAGAAATATACCTTGTGTTAAGTCCAATCAGGTCTGGTCTAGAGTGTGTTAGATCCGTTTAGGTAAGATGTACCTAGGGTGTTGTCCGGTTAGACTTGGTTTAAGGTCCGCTAGATCGGTTTAGGTTGAGTGCCTAGGTTAAGTCCGGTCAGGTCGTGTTCTCTAGGTCTTGTAGGTCTGATTAGGTAGAGACGTACCTAGGTTTAGGTCCGATAGACTTAGGGTTAGAGCGTGTTTAAGCACGGCTAGGTAGAAACATACATAGGGTTAAGTCCTCTAGGGTTCGGTCTCATCCCTCGTGTCATGTTACATCACTTCTAGGGTCGGGTAAGTCACTTCCGGGTTGAGTCGG